AATAACATATCCCCACCAAATACCAATAGTCCTCTAGAGGAGTACAGTGAGAACCCCCTAGAGATAAAGCAGGACATGGAACTCAAAAGAACAATTATAAACATGAATAAAAGAATTCAGTGAATTTAAAGAACACACAAAGAAAAAAAATCAAAGAGCTGAAGGAAGATAGGGATAATCTTCAGTAAGAATTCAGAAAAGAGTTAGAAATATTGAAGACTACTCAGGCTGAAATGAAGAAGGAAGTGAAACACTCAGTAAGCCAATTAGAAATGACAGGAGAAAGACTCACCAATAGGATGAATGAAAAGGAAAACAGAATATCAAGACTGGAAGATACAGTGGACGGATTAGACCACTCAAGTAAAGATTATGATAAATTTAAGAAATCACAAGACTGGAATATGCAGGATTGTGTGACACCCTAGTACCCATGCTGGGTGGCTCACAATTGCCTATAGTATTTTCACTAGTATTTTCTCTATGCCTTGTTCTATGATCTTCCATGAGTTCCTAGGTCCATGGGATCTGATGCCCTTTTCTGACCTCCCAAATACCCCCCACATATGTGACATATATACACAGACACAGACACACACATACGCATAAATAAAGAGAAAATTCTGAAAGCTGCAAAAGAGAAACAACAAGTCACATATAAAGGAAAACCCATTAGGATCACAGCTGACTTTTCAATGCAAACTATGAAAGCCAGAAGAGCCTGGATCAAAGTATTCCCAGTGTTAAATGACCACAGATGCCAACCCAGATTACTTTACCCAGCCAAAATATCTATTATAGTTGAAGGGGAAAGAAAAATCTTTCACAACTTAAATAAGCTGAAAGCTTTCACCAGCCCTTCAAAGAATACTCGAGTAATACAAAGGACTGATAGGAATGACTATACTCACAATTGTGGAAAAATAAAATTAGACCAAGAATGCAAACAGAAATTAAAGTGTTGGCAACCAATACAAATCTTTCAATAATAATTTTAAATATCAATGGCCTGAGCTCCCGGTATAACTGTGGAAAAGTACAGCTATATCAAGAATGTAAACAGAAATAAAAATGACAGGATTCAATGCTCATCTTTCATTAATAACTTTAAATATTAACAGACTGAACCCCTCAGTCAAAAGACAGACTAGGTGAATGGATTAAGAAACAAAACCCATCTTTTTGTTGTCTGCAAGGAACTCATCTCACTTTCAAGGACAGACACTATCTTAAAGTGAAAGTATGGAAAAAAATATACCAAGCAAATGGTACTAAGAAAAAAGCAGCCAGTGCAGTTCAGTTCTAATATCTGACAAAATAGACTTTAAACTAAAACTAATCAGAAGAGACAAAGAGGACCACTTCATTTTGATCAAAGGAACAATGAATCAAGAAGATACTAC